CCTCGAGAAAAAAGAAACATGATGTATCTGTAAGTGCTTCTCTTAACCCTAGTGAAATTAACAAATATTTTCAAAGTGTGAATACAGACCCATATTATACGACTCCCGAGCCTCTTCAAATCTCTGAAGGAACAAGAATTCCTTAATCGTTGTCAATTCATGAAGTTCAACATCTTTTACTGAATCAAAAACGCACTTCATCGGGTCCGGACAATCTGCCATATTGGTTTTGGAAATCGTTTGCTATTGAATTAGTTCCTATTGTCACAGAAATTTTTAGCATATCACTAAAAACCAGCAAAGTACCTCAGAAATGTAAATCCGCTAATTTATTACCACTCCCTAAAGAATCACCATTAAATTCGTGCAAACAGTTAAGACCAATCTCTCTGACGGACATCATCATGAGTCTATTCGAGAAGTGCGTGTATAAATCTGAAATCGCACCTATCACAAGAAATAGCATTGGTCCTGACCAATTTGCTTATAAAAAGGGTCACAACTCGACTATGGCCCTGATTAAATCCCAACATCAATGGCTAGAGTGGCTGGATAAAAACGCTAATTATATTAGAGTGCTGTCGTTCGATTTCAGCAAAGCATTTGACCGTGTGCCCCACGATCTTTTGTTTGAAAAAGTTAAAAAGCTACCTATTAATCCGTATGTGGTGAACTGGTTAATTAGCTTTCTAGAACTAAAATAGAATACAAAGAGTAATGGTTGATGGAATTGTTACAGCATATTTATATATTAATCGTGGTGTCCCTCAAGGTACCGTTTTAGGCCCAGTTCTTTTCTCATTAATGGTTGATGATATTAAAACTGCTGATTCTAGTAATGCGTTAGTCAAATTTGCTGACGATTTGACGTTAGGAGTGCCTGGCAACGAAAGTTGTGGCACATCTCGATCTGAAGCTGCCTGTTTACAGAATTGGGCCGAAGAGAATAGAATGCCCTTAAACTTGGAAAAAAAGTATGAAATGGTTGTTTGCAGACACACCTCTGTAGTTTTGCCTGAGCTTATCCCTTCAATTAAGCGAAAAACATGGCTAAAGCTTTTAGGAGTTACTCTACAAAATAATCCGCGCAACTGGGATTTGCACTTCGAAGAAATGCTCAAAAAAGCAAGTGGACGAATGTACATAATGAGAGTTTGCAAATACTATGGACTATCAATTAAACAATTAGATCTGCTGTTTGAAAGCCTAATTATGTCGATATTCACTTTTGCCATTGAGCTGTGGGGTTGTGCATATGACGGTAAATATTTGAACCAAATAGATAAATTCATTAAACGTGCACATAAGAATGGTTATATATCAAAACGAACACACATTAAAGAAATACGTGATAAGAGAGATAAGAAATTGTGGAACAAAATAACATCAACTGAGGACAATGCATTGCTTGAACTGCTGCGGAAAAAAGAAGTAGGTTACTTAGGCCTAGAGGGCATGAGTATGAACTCCCCCTAGTGAGAACAGAAAGATTCAAAAGGTCGTTCCTAAATCGTTGTCTGTATAACTTTGTTTAGACTTTAATGTATTTAAAACCTTTTAAAACTTTTTACACTTCTTAACTTAATTACATTGTAAATATAACTATCTAGATCAATTACCTTTCGATTGTAAACTCAGACGAATGTATCTGAGTATTTTAATAAAGATTATTATTATTATTATTATTATTATTATTATTATTATTATTATTATTATTATATGTCATTTCGAAGTTTTCCTTCGTGGTTGAGTTAATAGTTATATACCCTGTGCCTGTGAGCAGAGCCTTAATATCAAGTCTTCAATCATTTTCACGTTTTTCTTCGTAAATCATAACAACATTTGCCAACATTGAACACGCCTGCATCATTCTGTCATGATATTTTAACGTTCAATATAAACTTATTACTAATAAGTAAACATTGTCAACACCTTATACGAATAATTGGCTAAAACGTACCTGCAAAAAATAATTTTCTAACGATATTATTGTCTTTTATTTGTGAAGAAATTATCGTTTTTTATATTTTTCATCATGGCGGAAAGTACAGAGCAAGAGCTTTACGGCGACTTACGAGAATTACCGACTGACAGAAATCCAAATTTCTTCTATATTTTGAATCGAGCTGCATCGTTATAACTCGGTCAAGGAAACTGGCACGAGTCATAACGTCAAAATCAGTTGTCAAGAATAGTGTGCCTACGGCAGCAAAAACGTCTACCCTAGAGCGCTTTACAAAGGTAGAACAATTTAAAGCTTTAAAACTTACCAAAATCACTGTGATTTGGTGATAATTTTCTCTGTCTAAAAGCCAATTTGGTAAACATTTTCGCCATTGCCACAATGTCAACAACGTGGGCTGTATTGCATTGTGGCAAAAAGAAGAAACTGGACCCAGACTGCAAAATATTCGGGCACTTTTCTATTTGTAGCAGATCTGCTACACTGCCACTTAAAGGGCAATTAACATTGGCAAGTATAAACAACAAGTGACATAACTTTTTTTTTTTCATATGATTACAATAAAGTTTTGCATAAAATTTTTATTTCCTGACTGCATATATAATTATCTGTTACAACAATAATCACATTATAAAGTCACAGCCTTCTTAGACGTGGATAAATTTTGAATTAAAAATTGTATTTCATATTATATTTATATAAATAAACGACAAAATATTTCAATTGTCTCATGTCATCTTCATTATTCAGTAATTCCTCTAAAAAAACCCACAAAATGTGGATCAATTTCTTTCGCAGACACATGTAAGCGTCGCGTATCTATGTTTTTATCCTATCGAACAGTCTTGTGATTCGGTGGTAGAACAAACCTATTTAATGGAGCCGAATCCTGAAGCTCCTAAGTTTTCAACGAGGCCGAAAAGAGTGCAGCCACGGCAGCTGAGTTACGGATTAAGGATGTTGTGCATGAGGACAATGTTCACCTTTAAACATTAACCACTACCTATTTTATACTATTTAATTAATGTTGAAATTGTTTAGTTATATATTTGGATGTATTTGACAACTCGGTAGTCAATTAGGAGAGCGTGTCGAGAATTATTAAAGATGCGCGAGAATCGCGCGTGACGCGTAGCATTTTTCCTGGAAAACGTATGCTTTTCCCGGGATTGCATCATATTACGAAACGAATACAAATCTACTTTATGTTTAAGCTTAACTAAAAATTACAGCTGTTGTAAACCTTTAATCGAGTGATTCAATTTATTCACAACAACATTGTAATTCCACATGTCTAATAAATCTGTTTGCATGAAGTGCTATATTTCGACCATTCTATAACGTGCTCATTTAAATGATTAAAATTAGCTATAATATAATTTATATTAATTGCGGGAACCACTGAGTATTTCCATACTGAAATACAATACAACGGTAACTCCGAATAAAGTAAGCATTTTGATTGAACGTTTCGACTTTATTTAGTCATCATCAGGAATGATTATATTATATGTGCGTGCGTTATATATACTCTACGTAATTTGATATACAATTAAAAGAAAACCGATAGTTCTCTGGATGCTTTAGTCCCATGATTCAGTTCCGGTTTTTGTCGATGAATGGCGAGTGCTTCCTTGAACAGCAGATTTGACCAGTGCTTAGCCCTGTCTATGATATTGCAGATGTTTAGTAGAAAGGCTGTTAGGTTAAGTTGGTCAGTGTTGGGTTCGTCTATGTTAAGTTGTAATAGATTTGTCAGATAGTTGAATTGTTCGCAAGTGTTAATGTGCTTATAAATCTCTGAGTTTTTGTCTGTGATTGCATGTTCGTTCAGTCTAGCTTGTGTAGAGGCATCTGTCTGTCTTTCCTATATATGTTTTGGCGCACCCAGGACATGAAAATTTATAAACAACCGAACTTTGAAACTCCTTAGGTGTTTTATCTTTGCACGAAACAAAGCAGCCTGTTATGGTAATATCCCAATAAAAATGGACTTACACGGTTGTTTTAGTATTCGTGAAATTTTTTGTTTAAATTTGTGCATAAAGTCAGTTTCGCTTTTACCTACGTATGGAAGTCGAACATAAACTTTACAAACTTGCTCTGTTTGGTCTTTGATGTGGTTTATATTAATGTTAGAACTCATGTAAGCTTGATCCGCCTTGGGGTAAATTTATGTATAAGTTTGTTGGCCAATGTTTTAGAAAATCCGTTCCAATACATAAATTTCCGAATTTTCCTCATTTCGTCCGAAATGAAACTTTCGTTACTACAAATTTTGTACGCTCTATGCACAATTAAGTGACCTAATCTACGCAATTTTGTACGACTGTGTGTGTGCTCCTACGAAAAATCGAAGATAGATATTAATTTGATATCCAACAAGAAAATATTTCTTTAAAAAAAGAAATAACGTTTCGTTCCAATATAATTATAGAAAAACTAGACGTCTGTAATTAGCGGTTGTCACCATAGATCACTTGTATATGTCGAGCAATGAAATCGGGCCATTTTGCGAGGCGGGCGGGCTTTGGTAATTTTTTGCACGATTTAGTAATTTTCATTATCCCATAATTAAATGAGCTTCAAAAGCCGTTTTCATTGGTCGACAGCGCTAGCCTTCCGCAATGATTTGATATACTCACCTGCTAGATTTGATATCCACCTGCGATAAGCAATCTCACTGGCTAATGACTTTGTCGCCTTTTGTTAATGCTGCCATGTCGTATTAGGGACGGACCATTTGATTTTTGATGGGGGGTGGGGTGGGTAGAATCCCAAAAAAATATCGGGCAAGCACTTCGAACTATAAAAAAATATCGTGTAAGAATAAACGGAGGATAAAAATATCGAGCAAAACGTTCGAGTGGTAATCCTTATTTGCCATTAATTTGGTGCATTTCCGCTCTACTCGAGCGTATGCCAATTTTTCCTGGAGGCACCGCTTGCAGAGGCAAACACTTTTTTATTTTTTTTACATTTTTTGGTATAAAATAGGTAATTGGACAAGTAGTGGTGTAAGACATTGTAAGAAGCAGGGGCATAGGAAGCGTGGGTGGGGGGCGTCCCCCCTCCAAATAATATGTGGGGGGGGGGTTAAATGTCTTCTGCTCCCCCCCCCAAAAAAAAAAAATCAATAATTTTTAGGAAAATTCTGTATTATATGGGCATAATTATAAAAAAATGCACCGCATGGTTCCCTGACAGTACTGAAGGAGGTGGATAAGTCTCTGAAATGGCCATTTCAGAGGATCTAGAGCATTCAAATTTCAAACTATTTTTCGCGTCCTGAGCGTGCCCCCCAATCTTGACAAAGTTCTTACGCCCCTGATGAGAGGACCAGTATTCCAGAAATGGTTGTTCTTTATTTCTTTACTCCGACTCCTATATGATGAACATGTACGTAAAAAACTAGGCAAACTACGATTATAAAGAAATAAAGAACAACCATTTTTGGAATACTGGTCCTCTCATTATTTAGGCTACACAATATCTTACACCAGAACATGTCCAATTACCTATTTTATACCAAAAAATGTAAAAAAAAACCAAAAATATATATACATGCATACAAAAAAATATCGTGCAAGTCCTTTGACTGCAAAAAAAGTCGAACTGTGTCAGGAGGCGGAAAAAATTAATATTATCGTGCAAACTGAAAATCTACCCACCACCCATCAAAAATCAAATAGTCCGTCCCTTAGTAAAAAGAATATGTGGGGGAAAGTCGAGATTCAGTTTATGTTCTCATGTCACGCAATCACGAAACCTCGCCCAATCCCCATCCATAACTCTAACCTCCTGTGAGATTCATGAAATTCAAAATGGCGTCAGTGTATATTTGTCAATAAAACAACATGATGACTTTAAATCAAGATGAAACCCCTTCGGTAAGATAATAGAACAGTTTATATATTTTGTAAAGTTTTGTTTATGGGACAAAAACGTTACGACACAATTTTCTTGGTTAATTTGTAAATAAACTCATTAATTAATTTTGAAACATTAAAATCGCATATCTTCTCACTCCGTCCACTCCTAGATAACAGGGCCAAAAGATGTCCTAAACTTAGTTTTGGAGTTAACATTGCAATTCGTCATTCTTGTCTTTGATTGGTTGACTTAAAAATGATTGACAGTAGAAAGACTACATCAGAGTCACATTTACGCTACTACTTTTAAATACCAATACGTGTCACGCCCATAGATATCTACGCCATTTCCAAATTTAGACAACGAAAGCAGCCTAGAAGTTGTAAACATGTTAAGGAGTTCCTATTTATATATTACAAGAGCATACGGAAACGAGAGTGCAATTATATAATTATGCCTATAATTAATATATACATATTTCTTCGTTTTTAATTTTTCGCATGAAGTATTTGGCCAAGCGCAGTACGTTATCTGGCCTCGTATTTATTCTTAGCTTGGTCAAACTGTTCCCGCGGTCCCCAAAAACCTAAATTCAAGAGTAAGGGCCAGGCTTAGATGAATTAAAGGCCAAGCAAGAGCCTTTTTATTCTGGCTAAAACCTAGGACGCCACGTCGTCACACAAAGTGGATAGAACTTCGCTTGACAAGTTGACATATAATTAACTAAGATTCCCAATTATACGCCACGCCTCCAAAAAACTTCTTATGCTAGGAGCGGTCATCTCATTGGACGATTCTAAATGTAATTAACGTTTCAGCAAGAATACTGGCAAAGGATTGGATAACTTTGATTTCTGACGTCACTTTCCTGTGACATTGCTCGAAACCAAATACAGTACCGTTTCGTTCCTGCGGGGAACGAAACAAAAATTTACCTCGTTGCTATGAACTCTTCATGCGTGAGCTGTATATCTGGATGGTAGCTGTTAAGTTTATTTAAATTCATATGGAAAGCCATTCTGGCCAAAAGGGTATCGAGTTCCCAAAAATTTATCGAGTGGCAAAAATAGTGTATCGAGTCGCTTTGAAGCGGAAAAATGATACCGAGAACCGCGGGAAAACTAGTCGAGTTCTACACTTCCAAAAATATCATATCGAGATGACTCAAAATAACATGTCGAGAATCAGTCATTAAGATAAAACAGATCGAGAATAGTTGAATAAAAAAAAGTGGTCGAGAATCAGTCATTAAGATAAAACATGTCGAGAATCAGTCATTAAGATTGTTTTGGTCGAGAATCAGTCATTAAGATAAAACAGGTCGAGAATCAGATGAATAAAAAAAGGTGGTCGAGAATCAGTTACTCGGAAAAAAGACAACGAGTATCAGTTCTCAAAAAATTTCCCGAGAATCAATAAATCTAAAATAGCTGATGACGGCCGTATTGAGTGAAACTGATTTTGACGTATGTTTTGTTACTGGGTACGTCAGCTGACAACAGATGACAGTCGACTCAATGAAGGAAAGTTTGACAAAATGAAGGAAATTTCAAGGAAATAAAATTTTGAAAGAAAATAGCCAAATATTTTGTCGATGAAAATAAAAATAGGGCATTTTCCTTTCCTCCGTTTATTTTAACATTATGAAAACCTTTGAAATCTTTGAAGACAATTTCAATATTTTTGAAGGAAATTTCAATATTTTTGAGGCAAATTTCGGTCAAAGATGCGGTCAAAGTGAAATTTTCAAAATTTGGAAAAAGTATTTTTTTAGTTTTGGCAAATGCAAAATTTGCAAATTTTCACAGCAATGAAAATCAAAATGGCGCTAATGGGGAGCCCATCGTTTCGGAAATTCTGAACAACGTTTCTGCACTTTCAAGTGTATTAAATAACTCGCGAAATGTTGCATCAACTTCGACAACCTCAAATACTAGCGTTGAGGGAGAAGTACGAAGGATTTTTCTTCCAGGATCGGTAAGAAACAATCAACTGACACGCCAAGTTGTCCAAGGCGAAAGCAGGAACCAATTAAATGTGGTTCAAGGCCAGATGAACCAAGAAATGCAGACTGGCATTAGTGGAAATTTAAGTGCAAGTGTGAATGATGAAGCACAAAGGAATGTTTATTCACGATCATCAACAAACAGCCAACTAATTTGTCCAAACGAAACAATTCAAACAACCAACCAGGTAAATCAGCGAAGTCAAAGGGCGGGCTACAGTGGAAATTTAACTTCTTACTTTCCAGGCCAATTTAACTTCACAAGAAATAAAAGAAAACGTAATTGCAAGGATAAAGGGTCCAACATTAAAGGCAACAGATACTTTTATAAAGAGATTGTTCTGTTGACAGGTCCAAACGACACTCGTACACCTCAACAAGGAACAAAACTCTATTTGAAACAAAACCAGCATATCGTTCGAGGAGTTCAATTTTCAAAAGAGTGGTTGGAGCAACAAGTCATTGAACAGGTGAAGAGTCTATTTGGTTCAAAGTTGTCAAACTGTAGTTTTGAATTTCTTGAATCTGTGTATACACAACTTGTATCCCCCAACCTTACCACCAGGTGAAGCATTTAATGGCA